GATCAAAAAAGAAAAGGAAAAAAAGAAAAAAAAAGAAAGAAAGAAATGACCCTTTTTCCGTCGTACAAGTCAAAAGGCTCTTTTCATCGGCTGAACAATCGACGATTCCCCGACCGACAGAGGGATCGATCGACAGAGGCTCTCTTGCACGATTAATTTATCAAACAAGTGAACAAGCTCTAATTCCTACCTACCTTCAACCGCTACAAGTTACTTCGCAATCGTCTTTTTTAATTTCACGTCGCGTGCAAGGTGTATCCCACAATTCTGTCTCCAACAACGTTGTTGTTGATTGTCAAAGTTGCCGAGAGAGGACAAGAGTACAAGAGATACTTATTTATAATAACGTTGCACAGTGGCTTGGTAATTAGTAACTTGTAATAAACCTCGCATTGTTGGCGTTCAATTGCGCGGGAGAGTCGCGACAAAAAGTTGAACACGCTACGTGACTGCTGCCCGTTGGAAAAAATCTTTTGACAAATCTGAAACAGAGCCGAATTGTTTATATGTGACACATTATACACCGATTTATACGCACTTTCGAAAGTATTTATTTATTACACACGCAGTGCGTGCAGATTGGATTTATTATTATATATAAAGAGGAGAAGATTATAGCAAGAAAGAGAGAGAGAGAGAGAGAGAGAGAAGAAGAAGAAGAGAGAGAGAAGAGTTGTTTCTAGGGTGGTCGTTAACACCGAACGAAAATTCTTCCGCGAAGAAACAAACAGGGCTAACGACGTACGCCTATTAACGTTGACACTTTTAGTCTCCCAGAAATATATACTATACTTTATATTACAAGGAGTGTGACGTTCGTCGACATCTCCACGTGATGCCCAAAGCCCCCATTCCTGATCCATCCAGTATACTTACAGTAATTATTACCAACGGGATATTGAAAGATACTTGAAACGATGAATGCTACTTGCAACCATACTTCACAAGTCAGCCCTAAGCTCTATATTTAAAAGGAAGGGAGAAGAGAGAAAAAAAAAAA